TTTCGTAACATTCGAGTTCTCGTCGTGGTTTCGAGGTCACTGGTCTTCGAGTTATCTCACGGACCGGTCACGATCCACCGTGCCCTTCATTCAATTACACGGAGCCGCGTACGAAAACTTACGATACGTCTGATCGCATCTCGCTCGATCCTCGTGCGCTGAAAGATATCGCGATCTGATACACCATTTTTCTCGAGCCGGAGGATCGAAAGATCGAGAGATCTACGCCGTTTCTGCTGCCCGCAAAATTGCTCTTCGTTTCGAAAATCTCCGCTTCCATTCTCGCTATTTATCACGTATTGCCACACACGCTGTTCGCGTACGCGTTTATAAGGTTTCCAAGTACAGTTGTTTACATTTGGTCGATGCGTATGAAACGTCGCTTTTTCGAAATTTGTATTGTCCTGTTGCCTCGTCAACCACAGGGAAAAGGGAGAAATTCGCTACAGATCACGCGTGTTCGAAGTTAAAAAGATTTATAATAAAAATATCGAACACACGCCTGCGACGAGTACGATCGCTCTGTTCAAAGTTGGAGATTTCATTTTTAAACGTCGAAGCTTAGGCGATTCGAATAATCCTATCCTGATATACAGACTTTAAAAACTGTCAGCTGATCTTTAGAAATAAACACGAAACTCTTAAGCGAAGCAGTTGTATAGTCTCAATTTCAATTTCAATTTAGCAAGGCATTTGATCGCGCTTATAGCAACAGACAGAGAAACTTTTTCCAATCGTAATGACAGAGGTATAATAAAACTATCAGCTTTTTCATCGCAATTGCATCAGGCGTCTAAATACTTGCGGACGATAGCGTACGTAAGGAGAAGAAGCGTGGAGAGCGAGAAAGAAATAGCCCAGAGGGAACCGCGCGAGAAACAGAGGGAAGGGACGATCCTATCGGAAGTGAAGGATGATCCAGGTCTTGGATCGCGAATCACAATGATCTAACGCCCACGAGGATGTATCCGTGGCCCCGGAGGACCGCGGAACCCGTAGCGTTGCGATGAATTTATCCGAGGCGAGATCCCCACGTCGGATACCTGCGGTACATACGTCGCCGCATCGATACAGCCCGTAATGTGCGGTCACCGGTTCCGGTACGGTGTTATCTCGATACTTGGTCACAATCGAGCGATCGATCCCTCCACATGGCACTCCGCGACGATAAGGACACCGTGACATCGATATCCAGACAATAGAAGGACGATATCTCGTTATAACCATTGTCGCGTGCTGACTAATTATCTCGTTAAGGACCGAGCAATTGTTCGTCATAACGTTATAAGTTATGAACGTATAATACCAATTTCTTTAAATTTCTTTAAATTTTGCGAGATCTAGACGGAAAAGATAACAGGGTGACAAAAGTATTCAGTGAACTCTTATCACGCGTTGCTAATTAACTCGCATTAAGGAGCAAGCTATGGTTCGTCGTAACGTTATAAATACATCAGTTTCTTGAAACTTCGTAAGATCGTAAAATCTGGATGGAAGAAACAGCGTCGTGAGAAATATTCAACGAATCCTCGGAACTGTCTTTCGTGGTTACGAGGCTGAAAAACAGAATTCGATGACGCAGATTGATCGAAGAAAATTGTAAATGAAATGTTGCGTTAACATCACGTACATGGGTAAAATCTGATTACGTCTTTCTGTTCATTCGTTCTTTTGAAACAGTCTGTCGACTCTACAGCTTTATGCAAATGAGCTTTTTCTCTGTCAATTAACGTACGTTCACGGTAGGTTAGGGAAAAATACCACGGAGAGATTTCACGGAATTTCTTGCGGCGCGGCGTTCGTTGTTCCCAGAAGCTGACGCGCCTCTTTTTCCGCGTGCTAGCGAGAAAAATCGATTAGTCGTCGTCGACGCCGCTAATCACTAGGACGCGTTGGTGAAAATTCACGGGGCTACGAAAGTGAATCACCTGTAGGCGTTCTGTTCGCACCTTTAGTCGCTCGTACGCTTGTCATCGATAACACCCAGTTACCCATGATCGCACTCGTCCATTTCCACTTGTTAGCGTCGATCATTTTTCACGCGTTCGTGTTTTCAGCGAATCGGTTCGAGCGACTGATTTTTCAATGCTATCTGCCATCTGCCATCCAGTGACACGGAATGAAAATCGTGTGTCACCTGTTTCCCCGATTAAATCAATCTTTTCGGCAAGGTTGTACGAAACAGGCGTAATTTCCCGCTTGGAGGCCATGTCCATCGAGTTCGTAAATTATAATGCGAGGAAACTTGACGATCACAGTATTGTTTTCTTTAAATTTACCTTCAAATTTGCGATTATGATCTTCTGATAAATAAATATTCGAAGATCAGTCGCTTGCTCTCTGATACGTTGAATACTAATTTTGTATAGATACTGAAGTACGTACTTGAATTACGAATTGGGAGTTTCCAGAAATTTGCAATTGATCGGTTGATCTTCCGAGAGGCACAAATACTTTATGGCACTTGGACGAAATGTGCCATTTGATACAGATATTCGATACTTTCCACTGCTTTATTCTCTCGTTGCTTTGCTATAACTCTATAATTTCATATCGTATATTACTAGTCAAAATCATCGTTTAATTTTGTGGAAGCAGGACGATCTAAACTCGATACAGTTGCTCAGTTTGATTTCATACTTATGGCAGGTAGTGCAGTCGTGAATTGCAATTTCTTTCTTTCTTCGCACTGGATTGTTTCGTCGATAAGCGTAAGACAAACATACGTATGATACAACGGGATGGTCGGAAGGTGATCTCATTCGAGAGCAGATTAGATCAAACGCGAAAAGACGCGAGAAACACCGCAATGATACGTCGTAGGCTCGCGAAACTCGTTTCCGTCGCGGCGAGGATTCGAGGGAGACAAATCGGATCCGATAAGCTTCGTTTCTCTATAACGTTCGATGACTTTTGATATTTAATCCTCGAAGACAAGCGGCGTGCCGCTTTCCCTCGCGAGAACTCGACTCGCGTTGCGTAATCTCGCGTAACGCCTGCGTCTCGGGTAAAGAAAGCTCCATGCAACCATCTGGATACGCCAGCAAACGGATCTAGTCGTCGATCTCTGTCGGAAAATCGCAAATTGCCCAGGCAGAGATCGATTCGTCGCGCGACACACGATCCGTGAGCCGAACGATCTCTTCCGAGACGCTTAGGTGAAAACGAAAGTCATCGTCCAGCGTGGCGTCATGCTTTCGACGAGGCACGAAATCTTCTTGGCGTTCAACCGTTCTACGAAATCGACATTTTTACCCTGAAAAGTCACGATGAGTCGCTTCCTTCGAGCTTATCGACCGTTGCATACTTTCCACGGAGTTAAGGAAGTCGAAGAGCATTCGAAAGCAAGTTACGTTATCGTTCACTCATTTTCGTTATCTCGAAACAAAGAGGTTCGTTCCGATGACGCGTCCGAATTCTCCGAGGTCGAAATTGTGCGAGGGATTTGGAAGAAACAGTCATAACGACAATAAATCGACGATAAGTGGATAAGCCCGTTGAAAGGTAATTGCGTAGGTACAAATGCACGACCTTGAGACTGTATCGCATCATCCTTGAACGTGAACCACGGGTCAGTAACAGTAAAGAGCTATGTACGCTTAACCGATACATGCACTTACATTCTATGATACTTTAGCGCTGAAAGGCAGGAGCTGCTATAAGTACATGCAAATCGAGCTCGAAATAACTCTAGCTCGTGGTCTACGGTCGCGCGTCGTAAGGACGGAATCATCGATTCGAGCGGGTCTCCACGGTTAATTAAAGCGTTCGTCCTCGTTCCTCGCGAATCGATCGATCGCGTAGCTCGCGCGTCCCTCTCGTCGTAAAACGACACGTATCTCTCTTCGTGCATTTTGCTCTACACGCTATACGTCTGTTTGCAAACGTTTCTCGATCCTTTAATCAGCCAATACGTTTATACTGTACGATACGCCGCGGTATCGAAGGATGTCTATCGCATAAAGGTTTTTCAAATAAAAGTCCTTTCAATGAGAGTCTTCCGAATGAAAATACAGCGAATTCGCTTTTCCATCGAATCGACGAAATTTGACTCGACGAAACTTCCCCTCGGATCTTCTATACGTGGCGATCGAAGAAGGAAAGGTAGCGAAAAGCGAATCGAGCCCGAGACTATCTCGAGACTACCCTCCACCCCTTGCCTGCTCTTCCAAGTATCGTTCTTCTTCGTCTGGTCGGTGCGCGTAGCGAGCTCGCGACGCAAAGGAACGAGAGAAAAGTCGCGTACAACGAGGGGTGATCCTACGTTAACGAGACTTGGGGTGGCAAGTGACGCGATGCCACGTTTCCTCTCTGAAACCGGAGTCAGGGTGCCGAGAACTATCAGAGAGCCGCGTTGCAAAATCTTAAAAAAATTCTCATTAACGATAAATTCTTTTTACCGGACAGTCCTTAACGTGAAATTGACCCCAAGAAATTGTAGTACTTCGCTTTCTACAGAAAGAGCACACAGATACGCAAATGCCATGAGCTTTATAAATTAACTTTTTACGAACCGCCGAATTTTGTAGAACGCGAGACTGAGTTCCAAAGGCAGAGCGCAGAGACAAAGGATGCACTTACGTATGCATCTGTAAACTTTCCTCGTCTTTCTCGTCGTAAAGAAACTCGCCGTTTTTTTTTCGTTCTCACTCGAGAGGATAGCCGGAAATATAAATCGACTCCGTAAAATTTACAATATGTTTTTAAAACGTGGAGTTCCGAGGAACACGCCAAACCTAACGGGGATAGTTCGTCGAACCGTGTTTCGTTTCGCCATGCACGAAAGTCTGAATGTGAAAGGTTCGCTTCTCTTTCTGTTCGTTCTTTTCTTTCTTTTCTTTCTTTTCTTTTTCACCACGGCGAAGAAAACTGAAACAACGAAAGAAGAAACGGGACGACAAATCGGTATAAAGAAGAGGCGGCGGGTTTTATCGGGGTGTTTGGTATAAGTAGTTGCATAGGGGGTTGGATGCATGCTATTAGTAATAGTGAAGACGTACCCTGTACCAAGTGGCCACCTGCGAGGCGCTCGAAAGGGGTGGAGAAGCGGTGGTATATCCGCGACGCAACACACCGGAGGTGGAGGGTGAAGGTCGGGCCCGAGGGCGCGATTTTTGTATATTTTCGATATTGTCGGTCGATTCGCGTACGGGGGTGCGTTCGAAGAGGCGGGCCCCAACAAGACGATAGCACAGGTGAAGTGGTGGTTGGTGGTGGTTCGGTGGTGGTTCGGTGGTGGCGGGTGTAGTGTATTCGCACGCCCCGTGCAAGTGAGGCAAAAGCAAAAACAACAACAACAACAACAACGCCACAGGTCAGAAAAATATACACGATTAATCGATGGACACTCGCGTGTCGCTGTGCATAATTACTAATTAGTAATAACTATATATACATACTTACATACATACATACATACGTACGTACATACATACTTACATACATATATATATATATATATCCCTCTTTATTTACATATAAAACGTAAAATACACGGTGTTCCAAGTTTTCCCAGACAAACGCTATTAGTACGTTCTGCACAAGTACAAATAAGAAAGAAATTGTAGATATAAATGCATTGTTTTGTAATCAGTGTGATCATTAGGTGGGTGAACGGTATTTCAAAGAATTTACCATTTCTGATAATACGTAGAGGACTTTCACAGTGGTAAGAGATCAAATTTATTGTCTTAAGAAGCTTTCTTCGATCTTTTTTTTGTGTTGACCTATTCATTTTCTTTTTCTTACTCACGTTGACAGAATATACTGAAGGAGTTTGATCAAGGATATCTGGAACACCTTATATATATATATATATATATATTTGTATATTTAATAAACCACATCTCATAAAATATAATATACGTATTATATTTTACTCCCATACATGATATACATATATGTATATTATTCGCGTATCCATTGCGTGTATCTTGAAAGTACAATGCGCACAGTATATCTGTGGTACGTGTATGTGTATATATTCGTGTGGTCCTGCCGCGAGAATCCTTCGGAACACGTTCGATGACTATTAACGTTTCCACCGCGCTCCATAAATCCACGGATAGATCGGCCTGAAAAATTCGAACAATACGCTACGCTCGCAAACGGTACATTTTCTCTCTTGGTACGTCGCGAGAAGCGAAGGTAATAGACGGTGGTCGATCGAGTCGAGCATTGGTCCATTAACAAGATAGCCAATTATCAATAAAAGCGAAACTCCGCGTGGAATGCAGGTGAACGTATCCATTGCAGCGATACGTGCACGTTCGCTATGGGAGTAAGCGTTTATTCCCGTACGAATAATGCGAATATTCCCCTCCCCCCTCGTTTTCGTCTTATGAATATTCGTCATCGAACTCGTTCCGAGAAACAAGGTCTGCTATGGGCTGGTCCGAAGCGGAAGATCGAGCACAGGATGTCCAGGGGGTGGCAAGTGATTCGTTAAGCGGACAAAGTTGGAACGTTAGTCGAAGGTGGGTCTCGACGAGTAACTTTAACGCGTACAGTTTTACACATCGACGAACCAATTGTCTTGGTCTGGGACTGCGACTTTATGCAGCGAACGTTCGCAGCGAGGGAGAGAGAAACGAAAAGACAAACAAAGAGAGACAAGTTTTCCGAGGATAGGTGAAAGATGGAAGTCGCGTAACGAGAGTCGCGTAAAGATGGGAGTTGTCACGCCGCGCCTCCGTCGCGGAAGGCAGGATAGAAAGACTACACGTGTGAAAATTCCTTGAGCGACGTACGAGGAGACGGCGAGGGAAAAACACGGCTACAAAAATGGACAGAATGCAAGGAGAGAAGAGAAGGTGGGAAGGGAAGAGACACGGTATGAAAGAGCGTGATGGTTTGACACACGAAGCAGAAGAAGCCACACAGAGATCGGTATTTTCTAGCTCCTATTTTGTTTAGGAGTAGCGGCACGTGTTCGTGTCTGTTTCTTGTCAGTGGCGGTGCGGCTAGTAACTTATGTAGTACCTCTTTTGTGCGATCGCGAAATTCTTCGGAGCCGGACATCGCCGCGAAACACAGCGCAGGTACGGCGCCGATTTGCATTTGCCCGGCTGGTGCATCGTTACTCGTTCCCGAGCAACGAATATCTCGATAAATAAAGTGAGACGTTCGAGGGGCGCACGGTAGCGATCCCCTCGAGATCTCTTAATCCTGCGTGTGCTTCGTGACTTTCCGAGGGCTCCGGCTACGACTACCAATGAAAAAAGAGAGAGAAGAGTCAGGAAGCCCGGTCCAGTCTTGCCCGAAGAACTCTCGCTCGAATACACCAAGACGCGACCGTTCGAGAGTCCCCTGCAATTTACCGAGATCAACATACAAAGTAGCAGTCTGCGGTCCGTAACGCAGTGCGTACTTTCTTTTCTTTTCTTCCTTTTTTTCTCAAGAAAAATCACCCGACACCGAGTTCTTGATAGAGCGGGGGAGCTCGCGATCTCACGTACAACCGACGATTCAACGCCGTACGATGCAACGAGCCGCGCTCGATAGAGATCGACGGTAATGGATGGTAAACGCGTTCAACCCCGCGATCATCGACAAGTACAAGGACGATTATGATTTTTAACGGAACGCCAACGGCTCCTGATGACTCGCGATTAATGCCTTGGCGCCATGAGTGGCGAGGATAATGCAATTTGAGACCGTTAATTGACCGATCGACGCGAACGAATCGCAGAAAGCTACACGATATCCGTCGGGGTCCCGACTCTTCCAGTTCGTCTTCAAGGATCTTCGCTAATGGATTCTCGCGTGAGAGAGGTAGTCAGTCACTCGGAAGAGAGAATCGGACAACGCGGAGGCAGAGAATATCGTCTTACCTTGGGCAAGGATGCCAGGCATTGCTGCTTCACGTCCCAGACGAGCTGATCCCTCGGGAACTGAAGACACTTGCTGACGTAAAGTTCCGGGACGTGCACCCTGGCGAGGAGCACTCCCTCCTCCACCGGACCGGCCTCCGCAGTGGCAGCTGCGACTGCAGCCGCATCTTGATTCTGTTGACCTTGAGTTTGGCCTTGAGCCTGGCTTCCTTGCGGACTCGTGGCCTGGCTCGACGTTTGTCCCGTGCCAGCAGCTGACGAATTTTGCTGTTGCTGTTGCTGCTGCTGTTGTTGTTGCTGCTGTTGCGACTGCTGCTGTTGTTGCTGTTGCTTCGGTCCCGCCTCCATTGCGAGGACCTCGCGCTTCTCGAGGATTCCACCTTCACAGGTTCACATCTGAAACAGAAAAAAAAGACTCGAGTTCACTACCTCGTTCTTTACTGCGACCAGTTTTTCTTTTTGCTTCTTTTCCAGCATTAATCGACCCGATTGTGCCGTTACCGTGGGATATCGCGAAATCACCATGTCGTCCGTTTAATCGAAGAGACATCTCAAGGAAGCAGCAAGAGAGGCAGGTAGAAATAAGGAAAAAGCAGATGAAGAAATTAAAACGGCGAGGGTCCGTTCTTTATGACTACATCGAGTAACGGTAAAGGCGGATAAGATTACTGCGATAGAAATAAAGAAACGGCGCCGAGATGCCGCGACGATTTTTTAAACATCGTAAAAGCCTTTTATATCTCGCGATCCGTGGCCGTTGATACTCTGCTCGTTCGCTCGGTCGACTCCGTAACATTTTTGCGGAAATTTCATTTCCTCGATCCTCGACGAAGAATCTTGCGAAGCTCGGCAGAATTCTTTATTAAAGAGATTCGACGGGATACACGCGTCGAATCGATTACGCAGAAAGGATGGGCGTTCGCGTTGCTCGCGCGTTTTCACGCGTTTCTTCGGCATCGACGCGATAACACGGCTGGCCGTTTTACAATTCGACCTTCGATCTCGGGGGTTAACTATCGGTCAGCTAATAACTTACGCGCTAACGAGCAACGCGGCTCGGCCACTTTCACTTCGAACTTTCCAACAAGCATAAACGTCCAGGTATAGCCGTTGCGTGTATCATCGTCAACCTCCCGCGAACAAGATTAACACTCGTGGCTGGCTATTTCGCCGGTAACCGATCGTTCCACGCGACTGCTATTATTCGATTTGCCAATTTCTCGCGTGCTTGTTTCACGAGTATCAGTTTAGCACCGGTAATTCTTCGAAAGTTACATTATGGTACTAATTAAAAAGATTATAGTAGAAGAATTAGTGGGCCGGTTTAAATGATTTTGATACGGAATAACCGTTATAAATGATCAACATTTTGATGCTTTCCGATAATCGTTATCGATGACGGAATTATCGGAAACAAAAGAAAAAGATGTTATCATCGATAATGGAAATTCACGATCGAAAAAAATCCCCTCATCGATAATGATTATTGCGGTAAACAAATACGGTTTCCGGCGCTGATACTGGTTATCAATAACCAAACAAACGTTCACCGTTTATCATGGTTATTTGTAATCGGAACATTTAACAGTTAATATTTTTTAATCGTTGAATTCGTTGAAGAACTTCATTAGGATTTAGCGATCCCTGTCTTCTTCCGTTCAAACGACGACAAATTTTCGTAAGAACGGTGGAGTTCCAAGATAGGCGACAGTACGCTGTTTGCGAATTGCAAAGAGAGCGAGCGCAATATGTCAGGTGGTACGGGGGAGAAGTTTGATGGGAAACCGCAGACGCCATTAAACGTAAGCATGTTGCCGGCAGGCTGGGCTGCGTTAAAACTTTAAATAACCCACTGACCGCATCGTATACACAATGCTTACGCTTCGAGGACAATAGCCAACGAAGCCAAGACGAAGTGGAAACGCCACAAGGTCGCATCCTTCGCGCCCGACCAGAAAAACACTCATCCTTAGGCGTTAATATTCCACTGACGAAGGGATTTTCTTCTTCCAGTCTCCTGGTTCTCCCCCACTCGAAAGTGCCGAGGCTGCGGACAGCCAACGGTACGAAAAAGAACGAAGACCTAAGAGGGGGACGTAAATCCGCTTCGTTTCTTGCTAATGTCACGTGATCCTCAGGGTTAATAATTACGTTGATATGGTTTGCAATAAGACAAATGTAAAATATGACGATTTGTTTCTGCAAGAATTATTACGGGGAATAAGAGATGCGAGTACAAAGAAGAAGGAACGAACGTCTTGATCCACGCTATTGTTCACAAGTCATGGGACATTTAGATCGTTACTCTGATTTACAATGACGTTTTCAAGCGCTTAACGGCGATTTCGCTAATACGAGATCGATTAACAACGCGTCGAATTTTAAAACTGCTTTCCTGCAAGAAAAAGAAAAAAAAGATAGAAGGGAGAAGAAGAAATAAAAAGAAAGAAATGGAAGATTTGATCTATTTAAACAAGAGTTACGTTTAAGATTGATAGATTAATAAATGGTCCATGACTTACGAACCCCGGTGTATATTTTAAGAAGACTATACAAAGGCAATACGTTGCTACGATAATTCCTGCTTTCCCACAATACACACAGCTTCTCCCTTTCATTTTTCCCCTCCTCTAGTGATATTTTATTACATATATCGTACGCTAGTCAGAACGATACTGATACGCTACCGCTTTTTCCAACCGGCTAATCGATTATCGCCTCTCGAACGGGCTATCCTCTCGCAGGAGACGCGGTCGAGGAACAAAAGGAACGACGAGATACAAGAAAAATAATAAGAGGGAACACGAAGGGAGACGATGATGAACCGAGGGAGAAGGATCGTACGGATGGACGGACAGCAAACGCATCAATGACAAGCCGTAAATCATAGTTTTACGACCCGTCTTTATGTGGCCCTTATTCGTGGCAGTCATCGGTGGGGAGTGCTTTTGCCATTTTTCTGTCTGGCCACCCTGTGTGCAGCGCATTCAGGGCCGTATCTCCTCTCCGCCAGACGACGAGCCGATCGACCTTTTCTTCCTTCCAATCGAGCAAAGAGGATGGAGAAGCGGCACGCGAAATACCGGCGACTTTCGTGACGCTGGGGGCAACAATTAGCGCTCGACGTGTTCGCCATTGAACCGACTATCGGAAGTTTGAACCCATTCGAAGAAGAAGAAGAAGAAGAAGAAGAGGAAGGGGATAAACGCCCATGAAAGGTAAATGGAGCAGCTGCGAGAACCGAAGCCTTTTGATTTTTCCCTCCAGGCTTTCTATTTAGAGAGTATATCTTTAGAAAAAGAACATTTTTTTCACCTTGATGCTTCGAGTGTTTAAAGGGTATTGGAACGACGCGACGTTCAGAGACAAAAGAGAGAAATTCGTAATACGTCGACTTTAAAGTTCGAACGAACATCGCTCGATCCGCCCCTGCACGCGCGTAAGTGCATATAGCAGGTACCCGCTGCGTGGGCGTCGCTTTACGGGTTTGCTTTTAAGTGGCCGTACCTTAATTTCAGAGTCACCTAACAGTGTCGTGTTTAACGGTGATTCAATGATAATTAAAAAAATCCAAGGTTACCTATGGAACCATATCCGACTACGAAGGGGAGGAACTCCGAAGGACGGCCAGGAGTTAAAGTACGACCATGACATTCTCCTGGTCGCGACCGTGCACCTCCGACTCTCTAACCCCCGACCAGCGTTCCTCCTCTGTGCGATCGCTCGAGAAAATGTTGGATTCTTAACCGTTTAAAAGTCGAATAATCCCGTTGCGCAACAGATTAACTTTACATAACAACAGATTACATGAAAGTAACGCGTTCTAAAAATATTCAGAAGCTAACGTTCTAAACACGACTGATCATAATTACGAGTAGGAATTTTTTTACATTTATTTGTATAACTTGAAGATGTAAAAATACACGAATAAAGTATATTGTTCTTTACAATATTAAATAGAAGCGATTTTTTATTCGTCCCATTTTTTTTTTAATTGAGTCTATAAAAATATGAGTTTACATAAATAATCGTAAGCTAGCTACAATAAATACAACGTTTTATGAACACATTTTGAGTATCGTGCGTCGGTAGGTTGAGCCTCGTATGGCATCAGTATCCCGTTATCGATAGTTATCCATAATGTTAATGAAGCGTACTTCGATTTTTACGATATACGGGCGGCTTCTAACAAAATTTCTATCGCGTATATTCGTAACACGTACGAATATTTCCACGTAATGTCGACTACGATCTCCGCTATGATCGGTACTCTGATAAACAGGCCATTTCTAACTTGGAAATTCAAGTCTCGAACATCCGTTGAAATCGAGGAAGGAGTAGTCCCGGCACGACTAGAAAAATCTATCATTTGGTACGTCGATATCTCCAGATGTCACGAGTTTTTATCCCCGCTATGATAGGAATAAGAAAAATCTCGTTAGGATGAGAGAGCTTGGCGAAATACCGGACGAGACACTGGTAAGAGACAAAATATGCAGATCACGGAAAAGCGAGAGTCAAAGTCGAAAGAACAGCTACGACGGAGCTTCTGGTATCTCGACTCGGAGTCAATCTCGTCGGAGCCAAGCTCCATGGTCATGTGTATGCACGGACGCGGAATAAACGAATTTCTCGGCGCCACGCGTCTTCTCAGATGGCTCGACCCTCCAATCTCCAAATTTCTATTCTACTAGAGAAGGGTTCCACAGCTACGTTCTTTGAATATCCTGGCAGCTGCGGTTTGTGGATAATGCTGGAAAAGCGTAAGACCTGCTTTCGTTGCCTTTCTGAAAATCTGAAGAATGGAACGACGAGCGGGTTTAATTATATTTTCCAACGTCAAAAAGTACCTCAGAAGATCGAGTAAAATAATAAAAAATTCTTGCATTCGTGATTTCTCGTTTTAATACGTTAAATCTTCCTAGCGTGTTATATAGATCTATCTTGTTTGTTAAAACGGAAACAAGATTGAAATACGAAAATTCGAGGATCGCAGCGCAATTAAATTCATGCATTTTTATAGAATAACTTGGGGAAATATTTTTGATGAACGTGAATCGAAAAGGCTATCTGATGAAATATAGGAGCAGTGGAGTGTACAGAAAAATATGCAATTCGAGGTTTTATTATACGTATAAACTTCATAAGGATCTGAATAATTTGATCAATTTGTAGCAACAAAACTGAATTTAATTAAAACGTACGAATAACGACGGCCCCTCTTATATTCGATAATTAATTAATATTAATCGCAGCTCGGTTTTTTCCGTAACTACATCCATTACCTAATTGATTTGTGGTACATATTTCTACTATATTGAACATATATTTACATATGACCAAAGTGTATATATACATATATTAATGACCCATTAACAAATACAAACAGCGCTTGT